ATCATGTCCCACATTCATCCGCATGATATGGAGAGGTGACATGACCTTCCATAACCGCCCACGTGCTTAAATGTAAACACTTTTTTTACTTAGAAGAAGCGATGTTGCGTAACCGAGGTTTGGAGATCCAACCAATGTACGAGAATGACACGATAGGAAGGTCGGTGAGTGGGCAGTTTTTCTCATCAAACGGCGCACAAAAGTAACCTTTAAAAATGGGGTTTTTAATCACAGGAGCACTTAGTATGAAAGGAAGCGAAAAAATCATATAATTAGGGCTACGCGGAGGAAATCGATGATTTTGTTAGTCACGGGGACTGCAATAAAGCTCATGCCGTAAACGTCCGCATCGCATCTGATTATATGCTAAGCAATCAATCTCGCCTTTAAACTTACTGAACCTAATAAACGATGTTCCATTCTAATCTTTTCATAGTTGCATTTGAAAGTCAGGCGCATTACGATAGGCTCATTAAAGACTATTTTTGCAATTAGAGGACGCGTTTTTGCGTGTATGTTTAAACCCAATTCCCCTTCCATTGGCATTGCACGCTTTTCTATTAAGGAAGGTTAATCCGATTTGGAGGTGGGGTTTACTAGGTGGAACTTTCCGTGCCTTAGAAGGTTTTCTTGCTCCACGTACATAATATGAAGCAGAATGGAGACACGAAGTTTATTTTTAGGAAATCAGGCATTTTTACGATTTTAAAATGTCGGGCGACTTAATGCCCCTAAAACCCAGTGACAATCTCTACAGTCGGTCTTTTGTAGAACAAAATCCGACATTTCCCTACTTTTTGCGAATACAAAATAACTTGCCACTAACAAAATCCTCTAACCAGCCGCTATGTTAACTTTTAAGCATATGTTTAGGTCTTTGTGTGTGGTGTAAGTTTCACTAACAGCAAATTTAGAAACGGAAGGGGAAGAAGATTAGAAGTTTAAGCAATATCTTGGCATTTATATAACCATTCTTTGGCGCATTTATTCTCGTAGAACGGGCCCTAAGGTAAGCAAATACAGCGTAAATCATTTCAGTATGAAGAAATGAGTGTGTTTTTTATTTACAGCAGTAGAATTATAATCATTTTCAGGGAATTGAAAATGCCTACCAAACGCTCTAGTTTTTACCTTGACTTTGCCTTGAAGGAAGGCGGAATGGGTAGACATACGTCGTCTAACTACCTTATTAAAACGCCTTTTAAAGATACAACTTAGTATGGCAGGTTGTCCAGTTGATCTAGAGCGTAGTTACTGTCGACTTTCGTTGTAAACTTTCATTTCTCTCGGCGATGAGATTTTATGTTTGGTTGAGTCCACAAACATGATCCAAACGGTCATCAGCAGTAAAAAGAATGCCAGATCACTCATTACCTCCGTAAATGCTTCTAGGAAATATTTTATTTTGGTGGTTTAGATAAACAAATATCAAAAGATTCGCCTTTATGGCAATCAGGCAATAAAACTCGGTAACTATTCAATGATATATCAAGAAATATCTGAAACTGAACGCATTGCAGCACACAAAGCAATTGTAAGGAAATTTGGCAAAGGGAAAGTTCTCCTACTATCGGAATCAATAGCGTGCTTGCGATTAAATCTGACAGCTCTATTCAAATTTGCCAGCCACTCTCTAC